GGGGGGGTGTATGTGTTGGGCTACCGCTCCAGAAACTGCTGTGTGGTGCTGGCACTACAGTAGCAGGGTACCAGCTGCGAGGTGGCCAGTCCCAGTGTTAGTCGCTGCGGCCAGTCCCGCAATTCTAAGGGCATCTGTGACTGGGTTTTCTAGCACCAGTGAGCCACAGCCATCCTGTGCAGCTACAGCAGAGCTCTCTTCTGCTCAGACTGCTAACCAGGTTAAAAAAAAAAAAAAAAGCTAATTAATTTAAAAAAAAAAAAGTGGCATGCTAGCTTTAAAGGGAGTCCCTTTGAGCTGTCCTGATGCACTGAGCGTTTATGGAAGAGGGAAGCTGAAATTTTCTCCCGAATGTTGCAGTTGTGCGGGTTTTGTCCTTATCAGTGATCTTGTAGGTAGTTTGCTCAAAAACTTTTTGTAAATTTGGTCCCTAGTCCCAGTTTGGGCATATGCAAGTTAAAAAGTGTATCGCTTTCCTCCAGCCCGTATTACCAGATACTACTTAAAAGCTGACTGTAGCCTAGAATTAAAAGTCAAAACAGCTTTGCTTTTAACTCGAGTGTACATGCGTTCCTCAGGCCGGTTTCGTGGCAGTACCGCAGGGGTGCAATCCTCACCCTTCACCTCCGGCAAGGAGAGAAGTTCTGCCCAAAGACATGGACTCAGGCCAGGCAGCGAAACCAGCTGATGGGAACTGTCTGGAAACGTGAAGAGGGAGATTTGGTACTTTCCTTTCTCTGTGCTTTTGCATTCGGCATTTGACGTCAAATGTGGTGGGCAGCAGGTGCCTGGAGAGTCTGCCAGAGCCGCTCCGCCGTGGTGAGCTCTATTAATTTCCCGCACAAGCGATGGGCTGCCATCCCTGCCTGTCCCCTGAGAAGGAATATCTGCAGGGGCGAGTACAACCACCCACCTCGTGCTTCCCTCCCTCCACCTTGCAAACCTCCTCTTCCAACCGTAGACATCACTGCGAAGGATGTGAAGGACGTCTGCTTTGCCTACTTACGTTCCCTGAGCATCTTTGGAGCGAGGAGCAGTTGCAACAGGAGCTCGGGAAGTTTTCCAGTGCTGTTTTCTGCTGGTTGCTCGTTTTGGTGATGGCCGTATTGTTCCGCCAAAGCCGGCGTTGCTCGTATGTGGTGCAGTTGCAGATGGACATGGGTATTCAAAGCAATGTCCTGGTGACTGAGCCGTGTATATTTGTGACAGGGAACCCCCATTCCCTAATGCTGGGGATGTAGGCTGGGCAACTCGTGAGCGTGGAGCCTAATGAAGGCATTTGTGGGTTTGAGTGTTTGGCGTTCCCATGAACGAGTTTTATTCTCTTTCCAATCCAGCTGAACCTCTCTCACTTCTAAGAGCTGATAGTCGATCGATTGTTTCATTTTTTGGAAGTGTGTGCCCTCTGTGCCCCAAAAATGGTGTCGTTATTCCCCCTCCTTGGTGCTCGCACGCAACCGCTCTGTCCGTGTGCCTGGGCTGCTGGCATGGAGGGTGCCGAGGACTGCGGGGAACTCTTGTGCCTAACGAGAAATGGGGCAGCTCTGCGTGGAGCAGAGTCTCTGAGGATTTTGCATCTGAAACAGGGCAGTGGGCTTAATTAGCCCCTTCCCTAACGGCCCACCAGCCTGTGCCAGGGGATGATCCTGGTTCTGGAACTCGGAGGGGAGATGTCTGGGTGCTCCCGCCTGGTTGTGGAGCAGCCTTGCTCTCACTGCTGCTCGCCATCCCTGGGGACCAGGGAGATTTATGAAAATAAATACAGATCATTCACTTGTCTCTGGAGGAAGATAAAATGTAAACTGTCTATTTTCTGTGATAAAGCGCTGGAAATAGTTGGAATTTAAGATAATTATCTTTATTGCTTTTTATAGCACCCTGTGAAGGCTGAAATCTAATTTGTTTTTCACTAACAGGGAGCTCCTGCTGATGACTCAGAGAAATCCATTTGCTTTATTGACAAACTTGTCTGTTTGGTTATGGGGGCAGGATTCTCCTTGCAGGAAAAGGGAAATACAGGTTGTAACACAACTGTGGGTTTTTAATATAGATTCAAAGTTTGATATCTATTGGCAAGAGGAAAAAATAAAGTTGATCTAATCAGAGCGAAGCGACTCTGCTTTATTAAAGATGATTGTAAATTAGTTTATGCTTTAGTGGGTGTGCAGTAATGGTGCGTGGTGCTTTGTTTAAGCAGCTTCCATACACTTGAAGCTTATTAACTGGAGGAGCTGCTTTTCCTGGGCACCTGGTGCCCCTTGGCTTGGGGGAAGGAGGTGGGAGGTGTAGTCGTGCCAATTCCCTCCTGTGCCTGGGGCCCCGGGAGCGGTGTGTTCGGCTCCGTTTGGACGTGTTGCTTGCGAGTGGAGTTGCCCTTTTCTTCTTAAACTTCTCTGAATGTGAGACAGGCCCCCAGTTTTTAATAAAGTCTTTGTGTATCTGAAGATGTTGGGCATCCCTTGTGCAAACAAGTCACTCGTCAGCGCAGCCTGGTGAGGTGGTTTGGAGGGCTTTCTGCTGCTGTGGTGCTATAGCTCTACCAAAAGTAGTTGTCCGTGCTGCCTTCTCAGATAAAAGGGAATTGCTTTCTGCCTTACCTGACCCTGTGTGATAGACACCTGAGAGCTGCTCAGAAGAAGAAACGGCAACCTCTGGACAGGCTTTCAATATCACCCACCTCCTAAAACGTCCTTTGGATGTTTGAGAGATGATGGGTCTGCAGGCTGACTTGGCAGAGAAGCTTCTAAATTGGCTCACCCCTTAAAAGTCTGTAATTTAACACTGTCACTTGGGATAATGCTACAGACCACTGAATCTCCTCTAGCTCGAGTCCTAACTGGTTTTATGCCACAATGGAGAAGTAAGAAGCAATCTAGGGGTTAACTGTATTTTTAGGGAGGAGGGATGGAGCTCCGCAAGAGTAGTCTTTGCCTTGAAGCAATGGTCTATTTCTATCAAGCCTCTGTAGCCTTCCACAAACACGCAGCAGGGCAGGGGGCAGAAAACATCACTTTCTGTAAACATGAAGTGATAGATCCGGGTGGGCAGAGCAGATTTCTTGTCAGTCTCTGAAGATCTGCTCGGTGTTTGCTCAGCTTTTTATTGGTTTCCTTTCAGGAATCGACTACAAGACCACTACTATCTTGTTGGACGGCAGAAGGGTCAAGCTGGAACTCTGGTGAGTGTTTCTGAGCCGCTTCGGCTGCGAGCGCAGGACCAGCGAGCAGGGGCTGTGGTGCTGCTTGTCGGATGCTGTACGGAGCTGCGGGGAGCGCAGAGCATCCCCAGGCGCGCAGGATCCCCTAGCCACTCTCACCAGCGAGTTGCTCTAGCCAACCAGACCTCTTTCTGTTGATGGAGTAGCACAAACAGCATGCCGTTCTCTGCTGGAATAGTCCGATTTCGGTCTTTGTCATATCCAACCGTGTTCCCACACAGCTCTCCATCACTGAGGGAACAGTACTATTTTGAAGAAATACTAGATTTTCCTTGAAATCCTAGGATGAGAAATATAGGCAAGAGAATAGGAAAGGAGGAGGAAAAAAATGGGTGAATCTGGATATTTCTGAATGACTGGAGAAAATTAAAACAAGAGGAATGAATAGACCTCACAGTTATTGTCTGAGCACGGTCAGCCTCTGGAGAGCAGGATTTACTGGAGTGACCTGACACTGGGATGGAGATGGGAGAATGCCGCATGGGAGGGCTGACCCTTATCTGTCAGCACCAAGCGGAGATCTGGAGTCCTCCTGGCCCAGTTTTGCCTGAGGTTTAACCTGCTGAGAAGCTGACGGAGCATCCTGTAGCTGAAGGAGGAAGGATAGGTAGCCTGCCCCTATTCTGGGTTTCACCTGGATCTAGTAGGGAATGACACAGGCCCTAAGACATGAAGTTAAAGAGCCCCTTTACCAACGCTTGTGCCAAGTAACAGGAATATTAGTAGTCTGTGTGAATGGTTAAATAGGAATGAACACCATGTTCTTGGTCTCGGTGACTGACTCTAGCAGCATACAGCTTTGTGTTTAATTATACACCTGGTCTCTGAAGCTGCATGTCCTCATTTTTCTTACAAAAGAACAGAAGCAGCTAATTTATCTCTTCTAGCTTGTATGTTTGTATGTGCCACTTAAACTCTTTTGTCTCTCTTGTAAGATGTCTATTTTAACATTTCAATCCCAAGTGTGTAGTTACTTTCTGCTTCCCTCTTGAAACACTCTTTTTTTTTTTTTTTTTTTTTTTTCCTAATACGGTAATTCTTGAGCTGGAGAACCAGCACAAAACCTGAAAAGCTAGTAGCATTGGTTTAAGATGCCTTAGTGTAATCTTTTACCATTATTTTCCTCATGCAACCCAATATATTTGATTGTTGGGGGAGAAGGAGATGTAAGCACAGGCTGTTAGATTGATGTCCAGGACCAAGAATATGATCCTTGAAAGCTTTAGATCTGAAAGAACGATTGTCCTGAACTTAAGGTCAGTGCCTTTTTCATGTAGCTGGTGCAAATCTGGGGCTGAGGGATTCATCGGGCTTCTTCGTGGTCATTAAAGTGTCTTCTATTCTGGCCCGGTGAATAGATATGACAAACATCATAACGTGCCTGTGATTACCCTGACACATTTCAGGGTATATACTGGTTAAATCAGTGTGCTGGGCTCTGGCTTTGCTGCCCCAGATGTTCCCGCAGGCACTGAGAGGTGCTGGTAGTGTAGGCAGAGTCAGTTATACCACGTCAAGAGTTGCAGTTAGAAACGCTGTTCCCTAGTCCTGAGCTCTCTGTAGGGGATGATCGACCGGGTCTGTCAGAGATCCGGGTATAAAGATACTTCCTTTCATTTTTGGTTAAAACCTGTTTGAAAAAAATAAGTGAAACTAGACATTGCAAGACAATTTCTCCTATCTTGAGTGGTTATGTTCATTTTACGATAGGTCAGCTGTTCTCCATGACTAGGAGAGGTCTGCAGTCTCACTCTGACTTTGAACTCCCGTGGACCGTAGGGAACTAGAGAGAAAATCCTTTGCCCAAGGGAGTAAAATGACTTGCATCCTCGTACATCATAAGCTGAGTGGTTTTGGTTTGTACCTTCTCCATGGGAAGCACGATGACAGCGAGGACCTCTGGAGTGTGTCTGACTGTAACCAAAGGTGTGATACACCCACTGATCCTTCCCAAAAAAACACTGTAGAGCAGTTTGGGTACTGTGCATCTTCTAAAGATCTGACAAGATCAATGCTGCCTTTTTTTTTTTTTTTTTTTTAAGGTCCAACAGGAGATGTGCAGTATGGGACTTGATTCTCCAGATTTCATGGCTGTAACTTTTCTTTGTTGCAGGGACACATCAGGGCAAGGAAGATTTTGCACCATTTTCAGATCCTACTCTAGAGGAGCCCAGGTAAGTGCTGCTCTCGTGATTTGATGGGGCACGCTTGCTTTTCCTTTAGGCTGTAAAAACCTCTCACGCCTTAGTAAACAGCTCTGAAGAGGAACGCATCAATCATCAAAAGGATGGGATCTATGTACATGCCAAGAAGCACTGCGTGGCGTCTTGCTTCTGTTTTTATGAAATGGTGGGAGAGAGAGGAGCGAATGACAGACTTTCCTGGACCTCTACAGAAAAGGTCTGGTACAGACTGTATTCAGTATTAGTTTCTAGAGAAGGGCTGAGAAGACAGGGTTGTAGAGGACAAGACAATTCTAACTCTACATCTGCCTGAGCTTTAATGTGGGAGCTCGTTCTTTCTGAGTTTTGTCAAATTTGTTTAAATATGACACTGGCTTTCCCAATTGAGTTCTGCCAGTCTGTGTTGCCTTCAAGTCAGCTCCAAAAATAGGGTGGCTCTTTTTGCATGTTTGATGCAGACTTGAAACTAGAGCAGCTCAATTGGATCGTAAAGTACATTCCTTAAAACGCGAGATAGAGCGTTACATTTTGAGTTTCTCCTTTGGGCCCTGCTCCAGAACAGCATCTCTATTCTGAACAACAGAAAAATCTTGTGGTCCTCTGAAAAACTGCTGTTAGTTAATAGAGCTTTCTTACGGTTTTGTTGTCGTCCTTTTAGTAACATGACAAGGTCCCTCCAGGATACAGTCTCCTTAAGCTGAATGAAATACTGTATTTTTCCTTTTTTTTCCAAATTGGAAAACTTTGGAGGAAATTTCTCCTCTCTTAGACACTAAGAGTCGGAAGCTATCTATCAGCCTCCTGACTGTGCCAGTATCCGGGCAGCTTCCCAGCCTTTGGGAAACTTTGCCACTTGAATTCAAACACTTGCCACTATTGCTCTTGGCTTTTTGCTCCTTGTAGCCGTAGACTTTTGCTTTGCT